TCTGATACTCAGTGACCAATTTACATAGAAATCCATACAATAATTTCCCTATATGCTACCAATAATCCCAGACCAGATTTTTAGATATACAGGTCACAGCGACCTACTTTACATGTCAGCAACTCTCCATCTGCCATATCGTCCAACTTTGTATACAAAACACACTTACCTGAAAAGACAAAAGAAAAAAACCTATTAGCAATTTACTGGAACTTTTTTTTATAAATTATCGTAATCAAATGCTTATTCATGTATAATGACATTTGTCTGAATTTAACATCACCAATACAAATTTAATACAGGGTCACAAAGGTTAACATATCATACAAGGTCATAAAGGTTAACATATCATACAAGGTCACAAAGGTTAACATATCATACAGGGTCACAAAGGTTAACATATCATACAGGGTCACAAAGGTTAACATATCATACAGGGTCATCTTCCAGGGTCACAAAGGTTAACATGTCATACAGGTTCACAAAGGTTAACATATCATACAAGGTTACAAAGGTTAACATATTATACAAGGTCACAAAGGTTAACATATTATACAAGGTCACAAAGGTTAACATATCATACAAGGTCACAAAGGTTAACATATTATACAAGGTCACAAAGGTTAACATATTATACAAGGTCACAAAGGTTAACATATTATACAGGTTTACAAAGGTTGAGATTAAACAGTGTCAGGGATGTTAACAAATTTGCTTTTGAGAAACTACAGTTTGCCGTTGAAATATAAAGACATCAAGGGATAGTTTAAATTCTATTTAAAACAGGTTCTGAAATCACAGCTTTAATATCATGAACAATTATTTACTTTTCATGAACACTGATTACAAATAAGATTGAAATGAAAAAAAAAAAATAAAGGTTCCCAACCCCCAAGTTGATATGATTCACACAGGTTTTTGAACCATGGAAAAAATATCAGGATTGGTGGGAGAGTTTATTGTAGAAAACGGCACAACAGAATCATAATGCATTTATATAATCTATAATCTGTATCACTGAAGTGCTATTGAAGCCAATCTAACATGATAAGATATCAGATTAGGGAGCTCTTTAGAACAATTTCTGTGTGTGTGAGGGGTACAACACAAATTCAAATCAATTTAAATACTGAGAACTGCTAATGTTAGACGTCACTTTCCATCTTGAAACAAGACATCAAAATCTACATTGAAATATAATAGGCAAACAGGTTTTGACAGATAAGTATCGCATGAGTTAGCCGTCAATTACAAAACAAACAGATTTAACCATCTTCTCACTTATACAGGGCTGGGAGTGGGGGACTTAATAAACCATATCTCAACTCAGATACCAGACCCTGGAAAAACACCCTAATCCAAAATGCAGACACCACAAATGACCTCTGACCTTGACCTTCAACCTGTTCTGGTTCTTTTAAGTGTTTATCTGAATCTAGTTCCACCCATTGACTTTGCATGAAGGAGGAAGACTCAGATTGTTGGGTAACGTGCATTGATCTTGTTTTAGCTTGTCGCTACTTGCCAAAACCATCGGCACAAACCACATTGCGAAGTAGAGAGTTTTATATCGGAACATATGTGTACATGAGATGGCTTTAGGAAAACATGCCAGATAAATTGTACAGTATTCTCAAGACTGGACAAGCCATGAATCACACAACAATGCACTGTTAGATAACAACACTGTCAGCCTCGGCCAAAGTGTCAGCAGTGTTACATTACATCCGATTCAACTTCCCATCCCAGATATAGCTCTCCTTTTTTATTTGATTTCTAAATAATTTCAACTAACTTCCTATAACTTATAAACAACAATGTATTCCAATGAGTCTCAAACACATAAATCCTTCGAAACTGTTAAGAATTAATTAAGTAAAAATACAAATTTTGTGAAAAAAGAAGTAAATGATTTGTTGTGACCTTTGACACTTGGGACACCCAACTCCATTTAATGTTTGTATATACATGGTTTCCATGGAGATAAGCAGCACCAACAACTGCCAAACAGGTGTTACCTAAGGCAGAGATTTTCTACTGCTTCCTTACATCATTATGACTCTCAAGTGTGTTATCTGTCATTACGTGCAAAATAATCAGAAATTACACACTATTTTAACATTAACTGTAATTTGGTAAATTACCTTGAAGTGCATCAGAAAGTAAAAAAGAACCTGCATCACCTGATCTGCTTTTTTCACTGTGTAAAATTACAAACCAGTCTGTGATGCTTGTTTTTTCTGTAAAATAACTCCACTGATAGCACATTCACGGTAATCCCTACACTTTAAATCTCTAATGTTTTCATGAAAAGTGATTTGTACATAATCTATAACATTTCACTATTAACATGCTTACATGATGATCTGTGGTAAAACTTGAAACACAACTTTCTTTATCTTAGTTCACTAGTCCCTTTAATTACTTATACCCCTCATTCTGAATCCAATCCAATATACCATCCACGTCATCAAACCTCTTCTCCATAGTTCCCCACCCAAGATCCCACCCAAATCACCCAATCTCTTCTCCTCAGGTTTCCATCCAACATCCCACCTAAATCACCCAATTTCTTCTCCTCAGGTTTCCATCCAACATCCCACCCAAATCACCTAATCTCTTCCATGGTCCCCACTTAAGATCCCACCCAAATCACCCAATTTCTTCTCCTCAGGTTTCCATCCAACATCCCACCCAAATCACCCAATCTCTTCCATGGTCCCCACTTAAGATCCCACCGAAATCACCCAATTTCTTCTCCTCAGGTTTCCATCCAACATCCCACCCAAATCACCTAATCTCTTCCATGGTCCCCACTTAAGATCCCACCGAAATCACCCAATTTCTTCTCCTCAGGTTTCCATCCAACATCCCACCCAAATCACCCAATCTCTTCCATGGTCCCCACTTAAGATCCCACCGAAATCACCCAATTTCTTCTCCTCAGGTTTCCATCCAACATCCCACCCAAATCACCCAATCTCTTCCATGGTCCCCACTTAAGATCCCACCCAAATCACCCAATCTCTTCCATGGTCCCCACTTAAGATCCCACCCAAATCACCCAATCTCTTCCATGGTCCCCACTTAAGATCCCACCCAAATCAACAAATTTCCTCTCCTCAGGTTTCCATCCAACATCCTACCCAATCTCTTCTCCTCAGGTTCCCACCAAAGATCCCATCCAAATCACCCAATCTCCTCTATGTTCCCCAACCATGACACCTTTCTGATCCCCCAACCATGACACCTTTCTGATCCCCCAACCCTGAGCTATGTACATTATCACAGAATATAACTCTGGGACTTTCTTTTCAAATATCTCCTGAATTTCTGATAATATGATCTACTAAAAACATTATTTAATTACAACAAACAATTAATTGATCTGTAATTGGATCATTAAACAAAACCTGTTTTTGAAATTTAATTTTCACGACAAACTGTATCTGAGTTGAAAGCCATCTCAATCATATGACCTATAGATCAGTGTACTATTTGGCCTGATCAATAGTTTAATCCATCCATGATGTAATTATGGTATTTGAGAATATAAATGTCAGCCTTGGAACTAATCAACAAAAATTACGCCAAACTGTGACATGTTTTGTTTCACATTTTTGGAAAATTAGACAGGATGCTATGAGATCTTGTAATTAAAATTCAATCTAAAAAACAAATCTATATTTTTAAAAAAAAAAATGATTCGAAACATAAAATCCAAATTTGAGAACTGAATAAGAAGTTTAAAATAGAAAGTAAGCATAACATTTTTATTGTATATTTTACTGAGTAAAACAAAATCATTAGTTGCAAATTTCTGATATGTTTTACTGAAAATGCAAACCCTTTTTTGGAGAGACACAGTTTGTTGGACTTGAAATTTTCTTAACATCTAAAGGCAAAAATGAACCCATCAGTAGAAAGACATTTTACCTATATGAGTGTTTGATTATTCTAGTTTCACAGTCATCATTAAGAAATATTCTATTTCTTTGTGCATTATGATATGAGACATATTTAAAACCCGATAGGTTGCCTGTTGGTTCTGTTAGTGTATACCTGGTTCTCCTTTCAGAACATGACATTACTTACTTAGATTTACCAGGATTTACATGGCAGGTGTTGTCAATGAAGCAGAAGATGCTTACTCTTCTGGAACACCTGGTCTTATTCTGCTTGTACTTTTTTGGGAGTCGCTGTGTAAATCTTTCTTTTGTGCATATTTTGCCTCAGTTTTATTGAATTTGAGATTCTGATTATGTTGACATGTTGGTATTTTCTTGTTGTTTTTTGACAATCATAAGTAACAGATAGTTACCACATCAAGTCAATGGCAATGAAGACATATAAAATCCTTCAGACACAATAGCAGATTCCAATTAGTGGTGTGTTGTTCAATATCTATACAGATTCTCAACACACCAGACTATGGTTTAGGATTGCACAGGGCAGGTGCATGCTGAGTTATCACTATACGGTAAATAACATATAGTTATGATTACCCTTATTTTTCTTATGGTAAAATTCCTACAATTTAGATGGTTATTATATCTACCTTTGTACAAAAGTTGAATGTAACTGTCTTACAGTAGAAGTCCTTTGATTCTGATAGCCAATAAATATAAAGGAAACTCAGTATGATATTTAATGTTGACGTGTATAAGCCCGAGCCCAGTATACTGTATGGTAGAATGCCTACAATTGCCGAAAGTTCCTGAGTATATATATACAGAGCTCTATCAAATTTACTTTTCAGATGCATTATCATAAAAAATTTTGCCTCCAAAATCAAATAAAAATTGCACTCCCCTACAAACCTTAATGAGCATTACCTAGAAATTACTGAAATATGATAAATGCATGCATACTTTTTTCTGCACACAGAATAACATCTTGCACATACATCATGTAGAACTCTCCTACAAGAGAGACACATAAGTTATAGTATATGCCACATACATCTTTAAATACTGTCCATCTGATCGGTAGATCCCACACTGCAGTAACTGGGAATCTTTTCAATTTTTTTCTTATGTTACTTATGAGACAGCCGGACTCCAGATTTTTGAATGAAGTGATCAGTCGTTAATGAGGCAAGAAGATAATCAGACTGTCAAGCATGCTGGAGATCCTGATTCAAGGTCCATAAAAAGCTTGTCATTTAGTTTCTGCATCATTAACCGTGTGGCAGTTTGGCCTGGTGAATGGTAAGACAGATCTAATGCTTGGGTCTGGTTTGTGTAGTACACCCTCATCAAGTTCTTAGTCATGCATGACACGTCAGATTATCCCTGTAAAATATAGTTGTCTTTCTCGCCAGTCTAAGTAACAACATATTTCTTCTCCTTATCTTTTGGAACAAACAACAATTTTAAAAGATGAATATGGACTTTAAAACATTTACAAAGAAACATAGATTTAAAAAAAAAAAATTCAAAATTCTATACCGAAGATAAAATATCTTCTGAAACATAGTGATCAAATGTTTAGAATTGTTATACAATTTTAAACAAAGATGTTTGTTTTTGTTCTATTTATTTTGGTTAAGCTACCTGTTTAAAAGTAATACATTTGTTTTCTGTCTTGAGTAAAATATGATGAATGCTAACACTTACATCTTTTTTTTTTTCACAGGAAAATTTATAGAAATGACAAAAGTATAAAGATACAATATTTGATGTAATAATCGCCCATGTAATGTAAAGTAATACACTTCTGTTCGGACATAATGAGATTGAATATAAACCAACCACCTGCAGTCAGTACCTGGTTCGAACCAACGACCCAGTGGTGGAGGGATATTGATAAAGATGGTCAGGCACCTGAACTACTTGACTACCGCAGTCTGTTCCATCATTCAAAATATTTCTGTACATTTCTACTTTCATGATAAAAAATTTCTTACCAGTCAAGTTACCTAAATAACTTAAGGAAATAATTAAATTTGTTATTTTTGCAATCAAGGATTTCAGAATTTCTGGAGTATTGGGACACTGATAGAGGCAGCCTCACAAGATCTGGGTGTCTTTTTTATTTTGTTTGATACGGTAAATCATACAATTTCACTACACAAATACATCATAACACTGTAGCTCCAAGTCTTTTGACACAATAATTCAAAGGATTATGTAATTCAAATATGAATATGAGAATTTAATAAAGTTTTACTGCAAATACATGCATCATTGTCATTCTGTAAAGTAAAAACTCTGTGTGATCTTTCTCCAACATATGTTATACACAGCTGTTTATCTTCAACAATACGACTATAGGTTAAAGTCAGGTTAGGTGTTAAACGGAAACAATTCAAAACAAAAATATCTATATTTTTTTTCCGTCTTTGTCAGATAATCAATGGGTAGTTTTTATTTTTTTGAGTGTTGTTATTTGCTCAATATAATACGACAATGAAAGATGTTTACATATTTTGTTAACAGATCACAATTTTTCTTTCTTTTTCTAATTTTACAATATTTTTAAGAATTCTCAAACAAAATTTTACAATATATTTTCTTTAGTTCTCAATTGACAATCAATGCGTGAAGGCCAAGTTATGTTCCCAACAATAATGATGTATTGAAGTTTTTAATTTGGAGTGTATATTTGATTACAGTAGATAATTTATATAAAGAGTGACACAGTTATGTGACTTAGTAAATCAATGTACATATGTACACAATAAATATTATGAAATGTAAGGATTGAAGACTTTAGATCAAAGTAAATGTAATTAATTAATATTACATCAAAGTTTATCAAAAAATTAAAACTGCCTGTAGCAAAATCTGCTATAACATTAGAATAAAGATTTTAAGTATTATGATAAAAATCGTTGTAATTGAGAGCAGTCGGTTAATCAGCAGATATAATTCTTATCCAATTAGACTTGATATCCGATACACTAAGCCAGACATACAATTCAACCCAGTGATCCTAATCACACGTGGCACTTTCCCTAGTTAAGAGATGATTAGAACATGACAAAATAAAACCTCTGACGTATCACGTATCTGATCATACTCGGTGTCATGTTCACTCAGTAGAGAGATCATGTGACCGATACAACAGGTATCGTCTAACCTCTGACCCCAGTCTCAATTACTGAGATAAGGGAATTTAAACGACAAAGTTGAACAAAATAAAATAATCTTTCTATGTTGGTATTCCCATTTATTGACAAAAGACTCATCCATTAGATGTATTTGGAAGCTACCATTTTCATTAAGAGGGGTAGTTACTATGCATGTGTTTTGACAGATATTATATATGTGTAAAAACACTTTTAACACTTTAAAATTCCATTATGTCACTAGAAAATGACAGGTTTGGGTGTGATAGGATACCAATGACACTGTCGGAATTAATGCAATGCATGGGGTCAGTGCCAATACTAGGATTAAACAAAAACATTACATACACTAGTGACATACATTAGTTACCAACAACGTCAATACAAACTCAATTATCTCCCTTTAAAATTATAAAACTTCTCAAAAAAACCATCAATGATATTTGAAGTCACTTTTCAAATTTTTTTTTCTAATTTGAACCTTATTGGTGTATACAATACAAAACCTATTTTTCTGTTAATTAAATTCTCTGTTAATCATCATCAAGACATATACTGATTACCTGTTAAATGGCCTCATTGTGCAATTTCAGCAAAATTTCTCATCACAATATATGACTACCTTGAAATATCCTAAATGAATTTTGGATTTGAATATATTTTACTACAAAAGAACTCTTTCATAATACTATATAATTACATACCTGGACATACATTTTAGAAATTCATTTTGTCCTGAAGAATGATATTTTATGCAATAAGAGATTACACAAACCATCATATTTAGCATTAAATGACTACTCAGTACCTAATTACTGGGTCTGATAAATGGAAAATGTCAAGGATTTCAAGATAATTTCACACCAAATCATATGTTGATAAAGTGTTCTGAAAATGTTCAATGCATCTTTATAAACAAGAATCTACATCAATTGATGATATTATAAAATGGAAAGTTATTTGTGAAATAGCATTTTATAAAACGGTCATTATTAGAGTTTAAATTATCATAAAAGAAACTGGAAAATCTGATGTGAAGATTTTTTTTCATGTGCAATGTAAGTAAATTACTTCCTGTTTTTCTCTTCCGAGAAACATGATAAGATGAGAGAACCCAACACTCTTGAAGTTTAAGAAAGCGGCAACGTTCCTGAATGGATACCATGCGGTATTAACTAGTGTTCCTTGTTCTGTATGTAACATATTAGTAAAATAAAAGAATCTCAACAGCCAAGATGTTGAGATTCCTGTTTTTCTCTTGTAATAAGACCATGCCTGGTAATAAGCCCACCCACAACAAGTGGAATTTCAGAAGAAATGTCAACATGTTATATAATTGTCCTGTATTACGCCCACCCACGACTACTGAAGTTTCAGTAAAAACGACACCAAATGTTATATCATTATCCTGTAATAAGCCCACCTAATTGACTTTGAGTCCGTGGTTATGTTTTGCCTCCGAAGTTTTATACAGGATAATCACAGTGTGCAGAAAGTGTCTACTATGTCTTCTATATTGAGAGAAACCTTTATTGACACTAAGCTAGACTGACCCTTGTCTCTAGAATACTGAAATTGAAAACAAATTTGAGCTTGATCAGTTTGGCCTCTAGGACATGTCTGATTCTGAATATCAAACCAAACATGGCGGGGGAATAAATATGACTGAATAATCTATATTTAGGGAGACGGTGTAGGGTCAGATTTACAGGTCAACTGACCAATAGATTACTGTCTTAGGGAACACAATATTTTTATACATGTTATGGATAAGAAATATTTTGATCACCAGTAAGTGATGGGCAGATTAATATTTACTTGTCACTGCTGGTCATATATACATATGACTGTAAGGGTCATTCACCACTCCATAAACCAGTCAGAATTTAGACAGCATTATTGTTATTGTACAAAGTCTGAAGATATCATTGTGATGATCAACACTGTATATATACAGAAATAAGCCTTTGTCTTATTAATTAGTCGAATCATATATCATGTGGTCAGTATAATATTGATCTGTGTATAATAATGTTTTGTGGTCAGTATAATATTGATCTGTGTATAACATTGTTTTGTGGTCAGTATAATATTGATCTGTGTATAACATTGTTTTGTGGTCAGTATAATATTGATCTGTGTATAACATTGTTTTGTGGTCAGTATAATATTGATCTGTGTATAACATTGTTCTGTGGTCAGTATAATATTGATCTGTGTATAACATTATTTAGTGATCATTATAATATTGATCTGATGAGAGTTATTAATGAGTTAAAATTTATGTCCATGTGTGGTTCATAACTTTAAAATAATAAAAACACCTGAAGTGTATACACCATTGTGAATCACCTTGGTTGTGTCTGTTTAGCAGTTTGTAAGTGGTTTTATCAGAGATAATGTTATCTTTATACTTTGTCGATATGACTCTAAGTTTACTGACGAGGTAGCTTTAGTAAGTAAATGATAATACACCAGTCATGTGATAAAGGTACATAACTCACACTAAATAGCCGACCCTATCAGAACGGCATTTACATCACATATCTTCACACGTTTTCAATAAAGTCGGGGTATTTTTATTAGTTCCTGTCTCTAAAAGTACAGAATTGAATATCATATCTCACAACAGGGAACTGGTGTATCCTTATAACATATCACCTAAAATTTTCTACAATTTTGGTTTCCAGTAACATGACATCATACTTTAACTATTTAAATCATTCATATAACACATGCTTTCTAGATAATGATCATTAAAGATGCTCTCCCCATACATAATAATTTAATACCAGATAATGATCGTTAAAGATGCTCTCCCCATATATAATAATTTAATATCTCTCCTTAAGGATGGCCAATTCATATTAATTATCTAGAACTGAGAGACATAGGATACTTGCACCAATGTAAAGTGTTGACATTGTTATTAAACATTTTAAATTTCTTCTAATCATGACCTGCAATGTGACGATAAATCCTAATTTAGGATTACACATTCCAAACTGACAAAACTTATCGGTATTGCACATTAGGAACAGGGAAAACTCATGTAAAATGCATAGAGCAGTGTTAGCATGTCTCAGTTTTTTCAATGATGAAGCTGTTCTTGGTTTTCTGAATTTGTAGAAATACATAGATTTATGCTTTATAGTCACCTTTGCGAAAAATTGCAAGAACTAACTGATGTATCACTGTATGCCATGGACATTTTAGAGTTACTTCCCCTTTTGAAAAACCTTCAAATATATGTACATCTAAGTAAACCATGATCGTTAAATTACCACACCCCCATCCCCCACCCCCACCACCACCAATCACCCCACCCCGTAGAAATTTATTCATGCAGATCTGTTTGACAATTGTATAGTTATTCTCCTTGACAAAAATCTATTTTTATGTTTGTCAGTAGTCAGCATGACCAATAAAGAGTTACTCACCTTTGTAGAAATCAACTTATGTCTGTATGACCATTGCAGAGTTATTCCCCTTTGCAATAATCTTTTAATGTGTCATCCAGTGCTTTTTTGTAGCCAGGTATATATGAGACAAAAATCTTAAATGTCTGAAAATTGTCTTTGTAAATTCTATCAATCAATGTAATAAAGATGAAGGAAGGAATTCTCCTGATTTCAAAGTTAAAAAATGCACTTAAAAGTCCAGACTCTATAGACACTTGGCAACTATATTAATGAAAAATTTACTTCAACAGGAAATTTTGAGATATTCGTATCCATAATTCATAGAAGATTCAGAAACCCAAGGCGATTATTTAATTGTCTAAAATTGTAAAAATTTAAAGCTGCACTATTATTGGACTTCTGTTTCTATTTTGAGATAGAAATTGATTCATTTCCCTAAACCTACTGACATACATTGGAATGATCATGTACCTGGTCAGCTTACATTAAATAGCATTATGAAAAATATGACAGGATATATAAGACAGATGAATCATGACTGCAGTATTTACTTCCGATGACCTTAACTCTCAAACATATCTACCTCCCCAACATAATTTGTATATAAATTATCCTTCAATACGACAATAAAATTTCTATTGATTATGAACATAATGGTAAATTTTACTATCTTTCCCTCAAAA